GGCATTTGGCAAAGGTCAGCCAGCCCCAGTGCTTGCATTTCCATTCCAGCCAGCTCTGCTTCCCTGCCTGCTCTTGGGAGCACCACAGCCAGGCCCTGGGTGCTCAGGTCTATCTTTTTCCTCCCTGTCTTTAGATAAATCTAATGGCTGTGAGCAGGGTTGTTTTCCAGCATCCAAGCAGTGTCAGAGAGCAGAGAATGTCCTTATGCTTTAATGAGGGATTACAGGGAAGGAAAGGGAAAAATGGATTTTTCGTAACAGGAGCAGGTCGATGCCTCTGGTCTCTGTGGGTGAAATAAGGGTAATATCAGGTTTTGTGCTCTTTCAGCAGGTCAGGAGCCAGCTGGGGCATGTCTTTCTCAGTGGGAGATGCTCACATGGAGCCACCTAAGCCCAGAGTCAGGGATTCTCCTGCCCTATCACCCCAGGGGAGAACTTACCCCATGGCTGGCCTAGGAGAGGTCAGACTGAAGGAGAAATTTATTCTGTTGGAAGAAATTCCTTACTATAAGGATGGTGAGGCCCTGGCACAGGCTGCCCAGAAAAGCTGTGGAGCTGTGGCTGCCCCATCCTTGGGAGTGTCCAAGGCCAGGTTGGAGCAGCCTGGGTCAGTGGAAGGTGTTCCTGCCCATGGGAGGGGGTGGAATGACATGAGTTTAAGGTCCCTTCCAATCCAAACCACTCCATGATTCTATGAAAATAAATTTGCTCAGGTCAGTTTTGTCTGAAGGTTTTTATTGAGCTGGGGCTGGATCACCCATATATCCAGGGTTTGCCCTGTGAACTTGCATCCTCTTGGGACTGGGGCTCAGATGTACCCTGGAGAGCTCATTGTTCTTCCTCTGGACTTTTCATGGAATTTCTGACTTATGGACCCCTCAGCAGGCATCCTAGACCCCATAGGATGGGGGGAAAATCCTTCATGCTGTCAAATACTATGAGATAGGTATGTGAAGGGATAACATCCTGTTCATTGTCATCTTTTCTCCAACCCAGACTTGGATACTGACTATTTCCATGCCATCAGTTTGTCCAGGGCAAGGGCATCCCAAGAAGTGTGCAGAGCATCTCCCTGGGTGGATGAAGGGATTTTGCAGGATGTAGACACAGCCCCTCTACCCTGCTCCCTGGAAAGCTGGGAAGCAGACATTCACCTCAATCCTCCTGTGCCTCAGTTTCCCTTGATTTGAAAGGAGCTGCTAATCCATCCCAGGCTTCCAGGAGTGCCACAAGGCTAAATTCACCAGTCCCTGCACGTTTTTCTTTGGGTACCATGGTGATGGGGCAATGTGAGGACATAAAATGACTGATTTGCATCGAGATGCAAGGTGTCCCTTTGTCCTGAGCCTTTGGGCTATCTGGTTTCGTTGCCCATCTCTGGGGCCAGCCAGATATAGCAATGGAGTCACATGAAACAGCACAAAGGCTCTAATTCAGAGCTGGGGCTGAGCAATTAAAATGTAGCGTGTTCAGAAAGCAGCTTCCCTGGATGGCAGACAAAAAAAGAATCAATTTCCTTCAAACAAATACTAAATATTAATGAGAGGCCGTGGTCTGCCATGCACACAGAGCTGGAAAGAGCATTTCCCGTTGATCACTGCGGAGGCAGGTTCGTGAGATGAAATTGCTTTTTGAAAGGTTGTTTGTGGCCTTTCTCGAGGTGGCTCGTGGTTTGCCTACCCAAAAAAAAAAAAGAGAAGAAAATGGAAATGCTCTGCTTTTCCATTTTCTATCAGGGCAGGCACTGGGGATGTGTGCCTGTGCTTTCATTTTTGTTTACGCACTTGCCTGAGAGGTTGGGGAAATGTCTTGGATCGGTTACGTAGAAATCAGCCCCAAATTTACGTCTAGAAGGAAGCAATTCCCTGGGAACATCAGCCAGCTGAGCCTGCCCCCAGAATGGCCTGCCAAAGGCAGAACATGGGACCCAAGAGCATCCCTGGCTTTGCAGCCACATCCGCTCGTTGATTTATTTCAATAACGAGCATTGGGGGAAACATTAAAAAAATTACTTGCAGCCCTCACCAAGTATCCTAAAGTGAAAGCAGAGTGCTGGGAGCTTTGGAAGAGGAATTTTTTCTATTGCTTTGACCCTTGGGTAAGTCAGGAAAATTTGTATTAACTCCATTTCCAAGCATGGAGTTGGAAGAAAAATAAAAATGCTCCTCTCTCTCCTTTTCCAGGACGCACAGCCCTGACATGGGGCTTGCCTACGGTCAGCACAGTGCCCACCTTAGCTGGGAGGGCAAACAGCCCACCAGGAGTGAGTGCAGCCTCCTGGGAAACTGCTGGTCTCAGCCCTGATCTGTCCCACACCCGGCTGTGGAAGATGCTGGAAGCATTTTGCTTCCACCACACAGTAAATAATAACACGCCGGCTCACGATTTCATAAAGCCATTAAGGCTGCTGCGTAGCTGTGGGTCGATCGAGTGCTAATATTAGCTCAAAATGACTAAAATTAGAAAATTAGAACCCAGCCAGAACTAATTAGTTGTTCAAGGAATAGAACCAGAACCGGAACTAATTAATTGTTACTGCAATATCACCGCAGGGCCCGGTGGGTGCCGCCGCTTCCAGCCCCGCTCTGGCTCCCAGCGTTGCTTGGGATGGCTCCTGTGTGGGCTTGAAAAGGAGCCTGGGGTCCCATCTGAAGGCTGTGACAGCTAAATAAGTGTTGGCATCTCGGTCCCAGCTGTGTGATGCAGCACAAACTGGGCTGTGCTGGGAGTGATCCCATCGCAGCCGTGGCAGCTGCTGCCTGAAGGGCTCGGGAGCACGACCCCTCATCCCGGAATTGCTGCCCAGATGTGCCTTTCTAAAGGTGAGGGTAATTACAGTGACCATCTCCCCGGCTCCCAGAAGCACACCAGCTCTTCCCTCTGATCCCAGTGGCTCTGCCTTCTCCTTTTCCTTCAGCTCTGCTGCTGCTGAGGTGCTCTTCAAAGCTCCCTGAGCAAGGCAGGAGCTGCCATCCATGCAAACGCTGCCAGAATAATTTCCAGGGAATTAGGAAGCTGGTACAGATAACTGGCAGGTGGCTGCATTTTTCCATCTGTGACTCAAGTCACCTGTATGGTCACTTCTTTTTACTTTCCAAAGGTAGTAATGCACCTTATATTTCTTTTTCCACTCTCTCAGCACTCAAACAGCAGCTCCGATTTTAGCAGCAGCGTGACGCACGGTGTTTTAAATTCAATTTAGAATACAAACTATTTATACCAGCCAGCAAAAGGCAGTGAAGCAGCTCTCTCTGTCATGAGTGGATTTGTAATTTCAGAGCAATCATTGCATAACTAATTGAATCAGCTCTCAGCATGTGAAATCAGTGCCCCTGCTTATCAGAGGTTTTCATCATTCCCCCCTCCTGAAGGCAGCAGTCCCCCTCCACCAGCAGCACTTTGTGCTTCTGCAGCAGCCTGGGAAGAAAGCGAGACCTGCAAAGCTGCCTTTTTCTGCTCAAATTGAGCCAATAAATTACCAAATACATTCAGAGTAGATGAAGAGCTGGGTTGCAGGTGCCCCTGAAAGCTGCCCAGGCTCCGTGCGAGGGAGTGAAGTGCATTTGAAGCTAATCAAGTGCCAGCCATGTCTGAGAAGCAAATTGGTGCTGAGATGTTCTGCTGACTCCCACTTCCTGCTTCATTGCCCAGGTGTGCTCTCTCTCCTTGGCTGGAATTTCAGGTCTGATGTCTGATCCAAACCTCTGGCTTGGTGCCTGAAAGTGGAGCCTGAGAGGGGCCATAAATATAGCGGCAGCTTTCCGAGGGATGCAGGAAAGGCAGAGGGTAAAGCAGCTGTAAGGGTTTTTATCAGTTGAGAGTTGTGGGTCTGGATTTGGTGACTGGGGTGGATCTGGTTCTGCAGATTTTGGGAGCAGCTCCAGCCACCTGCATGCAGCAGCCCCTAGGGTGAGATGGCACCTCCTCATCCCTGGGGTGGTTTGGGAAGGGACCCATCAGCATCTGCAGAGCAGGGAGCTGAACATGGCAACCAGGGAAAAGTGTGCTGTGAAGGATGCTAACACCTCCCCAGGGATGCTGGGTGTGGATGTGTCAGTCCTGGGCTGTCTCTGCCAGGCTGGGGTGGGTGAGGAGGGCAGACTAAACCTGAATGGCTACAATTGCTGAGTGCTAGTGAAGGCTAAGCTGCTTAAAGTGGAAACAGTTCTCTGGGCAAAGCTGGCAGATGTTGTCGTGGGGAAGCTTGAGGGAGGGCTTGCAAACTTTTCTGGCTGTGCAGAGGGAGGGGTTGTTCTGGACAGGTATAATCCCTGAGGCTGGCTGTGGGAGATGCCACAGCCCAGAAAATGAGAGCTGAGCATCCCTGTGGTGCATCCCCTACTCAGGGATCTGTTTTCCTTTCAGGAGAGCAATACTAGGATCCACAACAGGGACCTTGATGGCCAGGGGACAGCCTAAGCAATGCTCTCAGCTTTGTTGGACACATGTTGGAATACATCTTTAGGAGAGCAATACTAGGATCCAGAACAAGGACCTTGTTTCTGATGACCAGGGGACAGCCTAAGCAATGCTCTCAGCTTTGTTGGACACATGTTGGAATACAAGCCTTGTATTCCCTAAAACTGATGTGTAGGGATTTTCTGGTTTGTTTTTCTTCTCTTTTTTTTTAGCCCATTGAGCCTGTTTGAGCCTCTTTTTTTTTTTTTGTGCTGCTGGCTGGGGGTATTTTCTGGTTTGTTTTTTTCTCTTTTTTTTGAGCCCGTTGAGCCTGTTTGAGCCTCTTTTTTTGGTGCTTCTGCTGATCTCGTGTGCAAGGGCATATGCATTGCAAGCAGGGTCTGGCACAGGTGGGAGAAAGAGCTCCCATCCCCAAGCTTGATTCAGCCATGTCCCATCAGTGGCCTCCACTTGTTTCTTGCACAAAGCCACACAGACAAAGCGTTCTGAGCGTGCGAGGCCAAGGCTGTGGGATTTGTGCTGCTGGGGCAGCGTGTTCCAGGCACCCCAACCACCCACTTTGTTTTCCCTTGTCTCTCCAGGTAGCCAGATGGGAGCACAAAACAAGAGCACTCAGCCAAATCTTCGGCTCTCCCCATGCTGCCTGTTACTGCCTGGGTGCTGTGATCCTGGTGCTGAACTGTGTGCGCAGCCACTGGTAAGGAGCTCACCCTGCTGCTGTGTATCCACGGAAAGAAATGCCCCTCTGGAGTGAGGGGGGAAAGGGACATTTGCTCAGCAGTGTTAAATCCAACCCCAGCGTATTGCTTTTCCATGGTTGGATAACTTCAGGCAGCAGCAGATTTATTGCAGGATTTGTAATAAAGATGAGGGATGCAGCAGCATGGCAAACCCATCCGTTTCACCGGTCGTTAAGTGTCACAGGTTACCTTGCTCTGCTCCCTGGGGATGTTTCCTCTCTCCTGTGAGCAGCCCAGGTGGCAGGGCTGTTTACATAGGGTGGATCATATGTAACAGCAGAATTTTCTTTTGTTTTCTTGTAAAAATCATAAACAAAATTAAAGCTGCTTTTAAGAAGCCGTAGTTTCCTGTGCAGAAGAGCAGGATTACCTGTGCCCTTAACAATCAGTCTCTTGAAACTCTTATCTGCTATCTCTAAACACTACCTGTGCTAGCTAATAGTATTGTATGACTGATAGACCATACTCCATGGGAATATGTCCTTTAACGTTCCCAGTGCAGCAGAGAGGTTTTACTGCAGAAGATTTCCTCAATGCCAGCAATTTATCTGCAATCTGGTTGGCTTTATCTCCACTGCTGTTAGGAGAGACAGACTCACTAAATTCCCAGATTCAATTATACCAGGGTCACAGCTAATGGGTTGTTTAGTACTCTGGGTAATTTCCCAGGCGAAGAGTTCTCAGGTTGGAATTTGCACATGTATTTAAGAGCTCTGCTTTCCTGGAAATGACACCAGGACCTGCCCTTGCCCTTCTGTGTTTGTCCCAGCTACTGCTGATGGCAGAAACTAAAGAAAGCTTGCAGTGAACAAGGCTATAATCGAATGCAGAGGGCATGTGTGTGTGTGCTGCTGATGTCTTAGTGACACAGCAGGCTCAGATTTTGCTGGAGAATGTCTCGACAGTCTCTTGCACAAATTACATAGTCACTTGTTGTCTGGGAGGCAATGCAAAGCCTTGTCCTTGCCTTTAATTAAAAACACAGCTGGTGGAGGGACAATCTTCATTTCCAGTGGTCCTGCTGGCTCCTGGGTCAGCGAGGCTCGTGGGTCACAGCAAGGCACTGAGAGGGAGCTGCTGGGAGAGCCAAAGTGTCCTCGTGTGTCCTGGCTCTGTGTCACACTGCAGAGCCCTCAGAGCCCCACCAGGGCTGGCTCTGCCCTGTGCCATGAGTCTGTGGGGACTCACTGGGTTTGGCTCTGCCTGTGCAGCCCAGCAGCTGGGCCCTGAAGGAAACAGCCAGGTGGATCCTGGGGCTGGAAAAGCCCCCTCTGCACCTTGGGTTTGGAGGAGAGGCTCTAGAAGATGGGGCAGCTCAGCCCCAGCAGAACTCAGATGAGACAGCCCATCCCAATGGGCCAAAGCCTTTCAAATTATTGCAGTGGAAGGTTTATTTTGCTCAGATGTTTCCACGTGGTTGGGTTATTCCCTCCCCTTTCCTTGGTGCTGAAGTTGGCCTGAGTGATGACTAGCAGGCTTTGGAGGCTCTTCTGGCAAGGCAAGCCCCAAACTGTGGGAGGGATTGGGTGGTTCCAGGGTGGTCATCAGAGCAGCAACTGCTGGAGTTACCCCAAAACACACCTGGGAGCCTCACTGCCTCCATTCCCAGCTCAGTGAGCCCTCCAGGGCTGCCCAAGGCTTATTGCTCCAGCCTGGAGAGCTTTTGCTGCTTGGCAAGGGTTCATCCTGCCCCTTACCCTTGCAGGATGATACCAGCCAGGGCCAGCCCAGGGTTCCACTGACCAGAGGGGCTTCATATGACAGTCACTGTCATCTCAATGACCAGTGATGCTGGGAGAGACATGTCTAACCTGCTCTTGCTATTTTGCTTTTCCCTTTATTTTATTCTCTGAGCAGGTTTTCTGCTCCCTTGGAGACCATGCCTGGCACGGTGGCCAGGGTGGCTTGTGCAGAGCGTGAGGGCTGCTGATAATGAGCAAAAAGGCAGCCTCAGGGGTCCCTCCACCTCCAGTGCTGTAATCCAGCCTTTAAAACTCCTCTTTTCCTGCTCTGGGGACTTGTTACGTGGGTGGGGGCTGCCAGGGAGCGATGAGGAGCCCAGGGGATGTTTCTTTTGGTTTTAAAAGCCTCCTTCCTTTTTGCAGCTGAGTTTTTTGAAAGGCTCCAAGCTGGAGGCGGAGGAGGGGAGGGCAGAGCAGACAGAACTTTGGGAGTGGGTTGGCATTTTAGCTGACAGCACCTGGGAGCCAGGATGTGTGGCTGCTTCACCACCCACCCCACATGGAATCTGTGCTGGGGTCCTTCTTCAGCCCAGCACCCTGATGCTCTCATGCCAGCTTGGCTCCAGAAGGATACTTTGCCTGTAAGAAGAGGGATGTCTTTGTGCTCAATTAAGCAATTAGATGTTTCCCAGCTCTCAGCTTCATTATCAGCCTTGGCTTGCAATCCAGACTGACCTGTGACCAGAGGGGACCTGCTTAGTCAAGTGCACAAGACAAGCATCCTTAATTGCTTTGGTGCAATGATTATTTTCATTACAACAGTTTCTTTCTGCAAGAAGCAAGGAACTTCCATCACCGAGGTTTTAATCTGTGAAAACAACTCCTGAACTTTTGAACTGTGTGCAGTTTGTGGCTGTTATCTTTGTGACATGGGACGTGACAACCTTCACTGTCCTCCATACTGACATCCAGTATCTCTCTCCCCTCCCTCACCACGTTGTTGGTATCTTTCCCTGCACCAGTTTATTCACAATTAGCCACTGGCACTGCCTCCAAACCCCCCTGCACTGCCTTTGGCACACCCTGGCACACTCCCTACCCTTGGGAAGGTACAGAGGGAGGTTCTGAGCCTCCCTCCTGAAGGGTCCATGTGCACACTTTGACTGGGGGGGCTCAGTGTGTGTCCCACAGAGGCTGGGCCAGCCAGTGCCTCTGGCAGTGGCTCAGTGGCATCGTGCTGCAGGCTGGCAGCAAGTCCTGCATTGATGCCACACTCTGAGTACTGCCTCCTGTGTGGATTTCTCACTTGGAGCTCATGCTTCCAAGAAAATAAATCCGCCCTGCGACGGGATTTTGCACAGAAAAGGGGTTGTTTGTCATTGCCAGGTAGTGCCTCTCGCCTTATGCTCAACCCTGTTTAATTTTGTGAGCTGGCACCATGAATGAGTGTGCTGTAAATGGCATTGATCCCAGACCCACAGGGCCCTGTGTGCAGAAGTGACCGAGGCTGATGATGGGAATCGAGCACGGCCTGACAGAGCTGGTGCCCCCTGTGAGCCACAGTGCCAGAAATATCTGATACCTGTTCAGGAAAAGCCCCAGGGAGCCAACAGCACCTCCTGCCCACGGCATCCAGATGAGGAAACCTCACAGCTCAGATGTAAGGCAGGGGGAGAAGCTGCCACAGCCCCCAGCTGACCTAAATAACACACTCACCCCAGTGCTGTCAGAAAAGCAAAGTCATTATTGGCAGAGGAAGCTGTGAGGATGATGACCGGGCTGACAATTGCCAGTGGTATCGGCAGGGTGATTTCAGTGTTGTTGAGGTTGCTGTTTTCTAATGAACAAGATCTTTTGTTGCAGCTTGTGCTGCTGGGCACCACCGGATGATTTTTATCCCTGTTGCCTCCTTTAGCCAAGAAGAACAAAACCTCCAGCACGGGGGACAGAGCGGCGCCCCACGCAGTGACTGTGGCACCTTGCAGTGGTGGCTGTTGTCACCGAAACCCCGGTTGCCTGTACCACTGCTGCTTCCTTGCTGCCTGCTGGCCCCTGGCCCAATTCTGCTCCAATTGTGCTTATCAGCCCCAGTTTCCAGGCTGGTTTTTGGGATCAGTCAGGGAGCACTGCTGGGCTGCTCCCTGCAGCGACCCAGTTTGCTGGACAAGGTCTTTGTCCTCATTTGGAGGAGAGGGATGACAAAATACGCTTGGTGGGGGCCACTGGGAGATGCCCCCAACAAGACCTAGAAACCTCAGCTTCTCTTTTAGTACAATATTTCTGTGTTTTCTTCCTGCTCCACGTGGCCTTTGGGGATGTGTTTTGTACTTGTTAAGTTTTCTGGTTGAATAAATCAGCACCTGATGTGCAAACCTGGCTGCACGTCCTGTCCGTGTCCCAGCCAGAGGATCTGCTGCCCCTTTCTTCTGTGAACTTTCCTCACTGCCACTTTCTTCTGTGAACCCACTGGTGTGACGTGTCCATCCCCATAGTGCAGAGCCACTTTGAGTGATTTTCCAGTTCATGCGGTATTTTATGTGGCAGACAGAAAGAGGAGAGATTCAGACTAGACATAAGGAAGACATTTTTTATGAGGAAACACAGGTTGCCCAGAGAAGCCGTGGCTTCCGCATCCCTGGAAGTGTCCAAGGCCAGGTTGGGTGGGGCTTGGAGCAACCTGGGATAGCGGAAGGTGCCCCTGCCCCTGGCAGGGGTTTGGAATTAGATTTAAGGATTTTGGAACTGGCTTTAAGGTCCCTTTCAATCCAAACCATTCTGGGATTCCCACAAAGCACAAATAAGACTTCTGAGTGTCTGAGCAAGCACCTCTCTGTTTTTGGGAAGGGTGAGCAGAACAATGCCTACTGCCTTGGCTACTCCTATCCTGTCAGGAATTAGCCAAATCTGCCAGTTTGGCCAGAGCAGAGTTGAAGGATTTGGGCTTTTCCCAGCTGGTGCACAATGTGTGCCTCTGGCATCATGTTTCAAACTGGCAAGTGTGGGGAGATATCAGAGGAAGCCCCATTACCCCATTTTCCCTTTGCAAAAGCTGGGGGCATCTTCCAAGCCCTGCCATGGGGACAGCCATCCTCATGACTGCAGCCAGGGATGTGACCAAAGTAGGTCTCAGCCTCGCCACCCTCCCCTGTGCTGGAGGAGGGATGGATGCTCCTCACCATGGCAATGGCTCAGCTCAGCACAGAATGCAGTTCCAGGTACTGGGACAAAGCCTGGCTCTAATTGCTGTCCTCTTGGATGCTGAGCTGCGCCGCCGCCTTGTCGTGAGCCTGAAATAAATGTTGTCACCAACGTGACTCAGAGGCACATGAAGGAAGGGACTGGCTTCATGACAGACTGAAATATGTCATATTTCAGGATACCAGCTCCCTAGCAAGGGAAATGCCCAGAACCTTGTCCTTGCCTGCCAGGGAGGGCAAAACACGGCCAGGGAGGCTCCCTCACCATCGTGGATGCTGCAATAATTGATGGCTCCGTGCTGCTTGTCACTGCCCAGCGTCATAAATGCTTAAAAGGTTTATTTACCAATTCTGAAAACTCCTGAGCGCATCATGTTTAATGCAAATACAGAGTGTGTTTAGGAAGATATAAACCATTCCTAGAGGGAAAGGCAGTCCATTATCTCCGTGCAAACACCTCCCTCCCTAGCTGTAAGCCAAACAGCAGGGAACTGAGCAAGACATGCTGATGAGAATAACTAATGCAGGCCTGTCCAACCATGGAAAGGAAGGATGGGATCATCTGGAGCAGGAGAGACAGCTTTGCCAAAACAAACCATACCATGTGCTGGTTGCAAAACTTCCAGTGCTGATTCCCAGCCAGCCAGTTTGTGTTCTTGAAGCCACCTTTGTTCAATGTTCCGAGACCAAGTCAGGTCATCAGCATTGGACAGAGGAGCCCCAGGGATGTGAGAGGGTGTGAATGCAGCTCATCCAGAGCAAGAAGCAGGCTCTGAGGGCTTTGCTCTTGCTGTACCTCTTTCTGTTTTGCCATCTCTCTGCCAGTGCCTGGGATCCAAGTGGCTTCCAGCACAGCATTGCTGTCCCAGGTTTGCCTCCCTGAGGATCAGCAAATTGCTGTAAAATCCTTCCTGGTCCTGGTGCCCTCTGGATGGGTCCTGGCCAGACATGGAGCCAAACCCTCATGCTGTGAAAAGCACATCCTCCTCTGTGTGAGGAGAGAGCTGCAGAGCATCCCCAGGGATGTCAGGATGTGTTTGGAGTGCACAGCCAGGCCAGGATTCCTCGGGCAGAAAGGCACATCCCTTCAGGGGGATTGCTTTCCTCCCAAACCCAGGCAGTGCTGATAGCAGGGACATGGATTTTTTGGCTTCCTCGTAGAGGAGACTTGTGTCATTTAAAAATAACCACCACGGAGATGATGCAAAGGGGTGTGCAGCTGCTGCTGCTTCACGGTGCAGCCAGATTTGCGTCTTCCCATCGGAAATTATTTTAAGCAAAGGCAGTGTGAGCCTGGTGAGCACAGGGAGCTGTGCTGGGCACTGGAGGAGGGCCAGCCCTGGGGACTGCGCCTACATCGCCCGGGGCCATGCTGTTGTTCCTCTGTCTGTGCTTGGCTCCTGGGAAAAGGAATTTCCCTGTAATTTCCAGAGTGTAAATCACCCAGATGCTGTGGTTTTGCTCACTTCTGAGCATATTACATTTATTCCATGTTTTGTTTCCTTGCTCCAATCCAAACTGATGATTAAATGTCTTGTTCTGGGATCCTAAAAACTCCTCAACAATAGAAAGCCTAGTGGGAGCAAGCTCAAAGTGAACAAAGGATGTCATCCAGCTTCCTAAGCCACAGAGTTTAAGTATTATCCTGGGCTTGCTTGGTGCATGAACTTGCCATCAAGCCTTTGAAAGATGTGCTTCCATCTGCCTGGCCTTCAGCCATGCAGGCAGGACTGTCTCTCTTGGCTTTTATTTGGGCAACAGGGAAAATCCAGAGGTTTGCAGGGCTTCAGGAAGATGGACACCAGGGAAAAAAGCTATCCCAAGCCCTGCAGGTAGCATTGTGGAAGCACTTTCCAGCTGAGGAGCCCAGGACTGTGGGCAGGAATAACTCTCCTGGCCCTGACAGACAGTGGTGGCCAGAGGTGCAGGAGAGCTGTTATTCCACTTGAATTTTAGCCTCCAGGGTGCTCATTAAAAAAAGGCTCAAAGTTTCCTACCTCATGTGTCAACAACATGTGGAGAAACACCGTGTGGAGCTCTGCGGGTCTGTTACCTCCTCCCGCGTTATTAACGGTGTTTTTTTAATCACAGCATTGTCTCTTTTGTCATCGTGTGGGAGCCTTGTGTGCTGCTGAGCCTGCCAAGCCCTGCCCTGGGCAGAGCTCGGGGGGCTGAAGGGAGGGCTCACCATTATTCCAATCACAAATGAGTATTTGGAAGGTCAGACCCGAAATGCCTGCCCCAGCCTGGAAGGGAGGAGCTGTGCTCGCACTCGAGAACGCCTCGTCTCTCGTATTTTCCTTTTGCTGTTCCAATCCTCCCCCTGACTGTCAGGCTCCAGCCGTGAATCACTCCTGGGCACGTGGCTAACACATGAAAGCTGCAAAATATTTTGATGGAGGGGAACGGGGGTGGGAGCACGAGATAATCCAGCCAATTGTTCCCAGCCCTTCGAGTCCTGTGCCGAGGCATCGCAGCCTCCAGCATTTGCAAGGGCGTCTGTCCCAGAGCTCCCAGTCAGGATGAAAACTGGGATTTGGTCAATAAGGCAAAGCATTTGATATCACAAGTCAGTGGGACTGGTATTTCCAGGAGTGAGCAAGGGTTGTGAGTAGAAATAGCTGCCCCAGATCGAGCCCTGGCTCCTCACAGTCTTCAGCTGATTGCTTCTCCCATTGGGAGGTTGAGTAGGAAAAAGGGATCTGAAGATCAGCAGCTTTCCCAAAGCTCCACATCTCCCAGGGAGACATGAGTGATGTTAATTATTAATTGCTGCTTTTAACAGCCCTTGTTGTCTCCCCAACAGCTTCACAGAAGCCATGAAGAGCCAGCCGAAGCTGGAGGGCTGGGACTGCCACTGGACCTACTACTCAGGCTTGGCCATCTCGGCTGTGGGGACCTTGTTTGTCATCTCCAGCTTCTTAGCACTGGGATTCACCGGGACGTTCCTGGGTAAGCACTGAAAATCCAACAGCTTTACCAGAAGGTGCATTTAATCCTTGCAGGGATCTCTTGCCAGGGCAGAGTCCTGTAGGACTTTCCTCGTCCTTGCCTTCAGGGCTGTTAGATTTGTCATTATGATACCAAAGCAGGACCCAATCCTGCTGTTACCACAGAGGGGATGGCACAGTGGTTTTATACAGCAAATCCCATCACCATCAAGCCTGGAGTTTGGAGCACAGCTGCTCATCTGCCAGCCCCCAACACCCTCCAGAAAGGGACCCCAAATTCAAGACCTCACAAGTGGCACTGGCACAGCATGTGTGAGCTGTCCAGCAGCCCTGCTCCGAGCACCCACCTGCTCATCACACGTGCTGAGGCAGGATGTTGTTTGCTCTCCCCTCTGCAATAAACCTGATGTTCGTTGACAGATCCTTTTATCTCCCGCTTTATGGCAGAAGGCATTTTCCACTGTGCCTGCTTTCACATTTAGAGCGTAATTCTGTTAGCATTGTTGACTTTGAAAACATGCCAGTATGTGTGGAATTCATAAAAATAAAGTAGAGACAGGAACAATAAATATCCAAGGAAAGGGGCAGCTCCTGCTGGCTGAAATAATCACAGCCCCAGCTTTGACACCTCATTTAGGCTGTGCTTTTGCAAGTGCTTTACAAACCAAATTCAATTAGCTCCTGTGGCGTCGCTAGGAAGAAGAGAGGGATGTAATAAGCCTTCCTGGTTTCAAGTAGAGTTGCAAAGAAATGTGTTGAGTTGGCCGAAATCCTGCTGCCAGAAATAGAGCTCAGCACTCCTAAACATGTGCCCTCACCCTCCTTTGTGCAGCCTCACTCCTGCCCCCTGTCACACCCCTGTCCCTCAGCCACCGGGCACCAGCATCCTCCAAAATCACCAGCAGCCCCTGAAGTGAGGCTGTGCCTGTGGAGACATGTCCAGAAGGGCCAGGCACAGGAGTACCCGTCAGCAAGAGCTGCTTGAATGCTCCTGAAGTTCAGCCAGATCTGGAGTTGTTTACGTAAAGCCTGATTCATCTGACCAGGAGGATCCACTGGACTTGAACCGCTGGGAAAAAGCAAACAAGTGAGTCAGGCTCAGCGTAAGAGGTGAGAGGGCCTGGCCCTCAGATCTGCATCCCCGGGGCAGGGGAGAGGTGGGTGCTCGTGGTCCATGTAAGGCATTTCTGCTCCATCCTCCCTGCCCTGCTCTGACACGGAAAGGACCAGCTCTCTCTGCTAGCAGGGCATGACAGGCACCAGGGCAGAGCTGAGTCAGGCTGGGGACATGCCACACATGCCAGTGCAGTCAGGCTGGCTCAGGACATCTGCAGCACTGAGGCACGGCCCAGCTGGAGCCCTGTCAGAACCCAGGACATCCCTCTGGATGCTCAGAATCCTGGCAGGGGCTCGGAGACCCTGGCAGGAAGCCAAAGACACTTGGGATTTTGATCTTAACCCATGGAGCAAATTACCAACTTTATATGAAGAGTTACAAGTCACAAAGTTTGGATAGCATAACAGTAGTTGTCACAGGAAGAAAGGTAAAATTTTGAAGGTTTTTACTATGGGGGTCTAGGGTACAAGATGGAGGAATTTGGGCATTGTCTTGTTCTTCTTCCTTCTTCTTCCTAGCCTCCATCTTCTTGGTGATGGTGGCACTTTGGGATTGGTGTAGAGTAGAAAGTCACTGTCTAACACAGGTGACAGGTATTGGGACACAGCTGTAAATATCAAATACGTGGTTTGTAGTATAAAAGACAACACCAGCCCAGGGGTGGGCAGTGTGCCTCAGACCGACCTGCAGGGCACAGCTGGGCAGTCCAGACAGAAAATGTTTTAGATAAGAAATAATAAACAGCCTTGAGAACAGCAGCCGAAGACTTCTGACTCCTTCTTTGACAGCTGGGATGGGGAAAAGAGACTTCTTAACACTCCTCAGGGTCACCTTGACCAGAGGAGATCCCAAGAGAGCCACACAGAGGATCCATCCTTGCACTGGTAACAGCTTCTCCAGTCCACACAAGCCCCATGAGTCCAAGTCAGCAAACTCTTAATGGAGAATGTCCCTCAGCACGCTTTGTTGCCCAGCCAAGGGGAAGACAGCGGGTCTGCAGGTCTCTGAGGATCTCATGTGGGATATTCTCTTGCTCAGGACTCTCTCAGGATTGGTACTTCCAACATCCATGCGGGGTTTTAGTGCTGCCCTGGTGCTGCAGGAGGAGCAAGGACTCCACATAGCAAAGGGCTGCACTGCTTTGGCAAGGAGGGGAATTCAGCTTCTTCTCACTGTCGACATCTCAAGAGCTCAAGAGAAGTTTTGAGAGAGCCTCTGACAACAGGCACTTCAAAAATCACTGGAGCTGGATTTGACTCTTGTGGGTTTTTCTACAGCAGTGGCAGCTGAACCAGGCAAGGCACAGGGCTTCCTGTTGAATTCCTTCCTTCCAGCACATTTAGGCTTCAGAGCAGCTGCAGAACACTTTGTCTCTCTAGTGTGGGCTCAGTGGTGCAGTGGGAGCTGTGTGAGTCACCCTTCTCCAGCAGCCTGGCTGTGCCACCCCATCTCCAGCACAGCAGCACCAGCTCCAGATGCCATTTGCAGCAGCTGGATGTGGCCCCTCTCCCTGGCAGAGCCATCCCTGGTGCCCTGTCTCTGTGCTGTGCCCTCAGAGGGATTCAGGCATCACTTCAGCATCACTTCAGCACCCTCCTTTTTTGCCCTGTTTCCCAAAAATCACAGTGAGGAGGTCTGGGCTTATCTCAAGGCTGAGGACGTGGAGAGGCTGCTTTGCCTGTCTGAGCCCATCTGCCTCATACCCTCATACCCCAGTGACATTTCTTCCAGCACTGACCAAGAGGTCAAGTCAATCTGACTTGACCAAAGTCTGTTGCTGGGCCTGGAGAAGCTGACAACTCTCTGGGGTGAAGCAGAGCTGGTGCTCCAGCCCAGGTCAGGCTCCAGGCATTCTGGGGGACCTTGCAGAGTGGCTTTTGCTGCTGTGATCCCACCCTGAGCAGTGAGATGGCTGCACAAAACTCCAGCAAAAAATAGCTCCTATTAGGTGCCAAAGTGCCTCAGCTTGGCACGGAGCTGATTCCTGATTTGAGGGCTCAGCAAAGGCACAGGAGATGCCCAGGGTGATGCTGTGCAACACAACACACAGCACACAGACCTGTCCCTAAGCACCTCTCTGAACATAAACACATAGAAACCACCTCTCAGGTGGTCATGTTCATTGACCTGTGCAGGTTTAGAGGCAGAGATTACATTGGAAAAGCTGCTGGGGAGCTGCCTGTGTGCTGCTGCTCGTGGGGAGCCTGCCTGGAGGGCTGCACAGCCCCACCAGTGCTGGGCACAGATAAGCCCCTGCCAGCCCCACGGGCCCAGGGCTTTGTGTGAACCTCCTCAGTGCCAGAGCCATGTGGGGAATGAGGTGTTCAGCTCAAGGGCGAGGGTGGGCAGGGGATAATGAAGCATTTTGACACATAAGAAAGCACAGAAACGGGCTGGGGCAGGGGCTGATGTGTTCTTTCTACCAGAACAATCTCAGAGATGTATTGCCAAGTAACTGTGAGAACATATAGTATGAATACAAGGCAATTATCTCACTTAGTGGCCTGCAGTTAAAACCCAAAAGCATTGTGTAATTGGGCAGGGGCTGTTTATCCTTAGAAATAAATGTTTTAGCACCATGTGAGGTCAAAGAAATTACACTACGATCCAGGTAATAATAATAACCTTGAATAGTTTGCACTCCTGTTATGCCTTTCATCTGGATTTGTGAGCACTTTCTCACCATACATTAATCCTCACCACCCTCTGTGCTCTAAGAAAGACTGATGTTGTGATCAGTGCACAATAGCACCTGGAGGGACAGAGGAGACTTGCCCAAGGTCAGGGAAGGGGCTGGCAGCAAAGCTGGGAGCTCAGCCCAGGGTGGTGGCTGAGGGACAGGCTGCTCCTGATGGATGAGTGCTTGTGCAGTGGTCATGGAGCATGGATGGTGCAGAAGGGAACAGAGCAGAAGGGTCTGGAGCACCAGGAGTAGCTGGAGGAGCTGGGAGGGGCTCAGCCTGGAGAAAAGGAGGTTCAGGGGGAGCCTTTTGGCTCTCCACAACATCCTGACAGGAGGGTGCAGCCAGAGAGGGGTCAGGCTCTGCTCCCAGGGAGCAGGGACAGGGCAAGAAGAAATGACCTCATGTTGTACCAGGGGATGTTGACATTTGATGTCAGGAAAAAATTCTTCACCAAAGGGGTTGTCAAGCCCTGGCACAGGTTGCCCAGGGCAGTGGAGGGATTTAAAAGTCATCTAGATGTGGTGCTTTGTGGTCTCACCTGTAAGACCAACAGAACCAGAATCTGAATCCTGGCCCTTTACCCCTTTACCCCTCTGAAGTGTTGCTCACAAGTTGCACATCTTCCTGTCATTTCTTTCCCAAGCTCCTTTCAGGAGGGTGGAAGGATTGCTCCAAGGTAGATGGGAAGCTGGTTGGATGCTGACAGTTCTGAAAGCTTTCCTCATTACAGATGACAATCACCCATTATCATCATCATCACTGTGCCAATAACTGTTTTGTAGGCAGAGGTGCTATTTTCTGAAATTCTGAGAAATTTCTCTGAACTATGAGATAAGGGTGACGTTATGGGTGAGGGCATTTGGTTGTGGTGGTCATGATGAAAACGATTCTGAGAAATTCTCTGAACTATGAGATAAGGGCGAGGTTATGGGTGAGGGCATTTGGTTGTGGTGGTCATGATGAAAACAGCTCCAAACACCATTTCACAGCACTGGGTTTATTTTCACATTAAACAGATTTGAAGCACTTGCTTCATCGTGGAGTGGCATTTGACAGGCTATTTTACAAATGAAAAAAACCAGAATTAACCAGTTGGGACCTGGAGAGCTGTGTCCTGATGAGGGACGTGGCTGCCACCACCTCATTGCAATGCAGGAGCCTTCCTCGTGGGCAAAGAGCCATTCCTGGAAAAGCTGATAGACACAGAGTAAACAAACAGCTTTTTTGTTGCTGTTTCCTCAGCCTGGAAGTCAGTGCTGAAGCCCTTTGCAGTGAGTCCCTGCCAGGGATGCGCTGTGGCACAGGGCAGGGCATCAGTGTGCCAAAGCCCCCCACGACTCCCAGTTGCATGGAGCCTAACCAGAAGCTCTCTGCTTGCTCTTAGGTGATTACTTTGGCATCCTGATGGAGGAAAAAGTGACCAGCTTCCCCTTCAGCATCCTGGATAACCCCATGTACTGGGGCAGCACAGCCATCTACCTGGGCTGGTCCCTCATGTGAGTACAAACACCTCTGGTTGTAGGGTCACTCTGGGGTCTCTTGGCAGGGCATGAGGTGCCAGGGTGCCTTTGGGGCCTAAAAGACACTCTGTGATGGCAGAGAAAGTGCAGCCTGCCCTGACTTCTGGCTCCCTGGCTATTTTTGTGCGTGGAAAGTCTTGCGCTGTCTCGAAACACTCGCGGCGTTTGTTGTAGAAAAATAAATAGCGGCCAAGTGCTGGGGGAGAGGGGGCAGCAGCAAATGCTCTGCAGCTGAACGAGGCCCTTGGCAGGCTCTGCACGTGGAAAAATCAACACTCGGGGCCAAATTCATGCAGGGTGTCACTCGGCAGGGGCAGGGCACTGGCACTGGGGAGCAGTGTGACCCTGCAATTACTCTGAAAAAAGCAAAACAAGCCAAGCCACCCTTTCCCCCAGCCCACGGTGAAAACACTTCCGAAATGCTCCTTGTGTGATACAACACAGCTTAATAGCCTGCTTAGGAGGAAATGAATAGGCTGTAATTTAGCAGCAAATGAGCAATATACTCTATTCAGTGTAACAAGTTTGATGTGGTTCTCATTTAATATCACATTTTATTTATTTGCCCAGGAGAAAAAAAAAAAAACCCTGGCTGTGTTACTTGAGGAGCCCATGGAGTGTTGCAGGCTGTTATCACTGGGTGTTTTGCACTGGTGCTGCTGACTGTGACCACCTCTCCTCTGCTTGGGTGGGAAAAATTAAGTGCTTTGCCACGTTCTGGTTATTTTTTCAGCCATGTGTGCAGCCCCTGGTAATAAGTAAAGCTGATGGTTTCTCTCCTGTCTCCACTGAGCCTTGTTGCTGTTAAAAAACCCAAAGGATTGATCCATCCTCCAACTTGCTGCTGTTGTTGCAAGTTGTGCACTTGAAATCCCCCCAGGTGCTGGCAGGGCTGGCTGCATGAGGCTGCTTCCCTTCCTGGCAGAGCCAGGGCACTGGATGGGGTTTAAATTCTGGGAAATGGTGCAGGATTTAGATGCCAAAGGGAGGCAGTGCTGGGCACGAGAGTTGGCCACAGGGTCTGCAGCAGCACCCTGGAAATGTTTATATTGCTGTGGGGAGTGGCAGAGCTGGGACAGGATGAGTCCCCCCACACCACACCACAACCCCCACAGCAGCACAGAAGCAGGGTTTTGACCAGGAGGAATTACAAGACGACCTTTATTTGTTTTAAAATCAGTATCAAACTACTTCCTAAAACCTTTGCAGAATCCACTGAAACCCCCTGAGCTGTTTCTGTCGCAGAATCCCTTCCTCACCCCTCTCGTTGTGCTCTTCCAGCACAATTCTGGGCAGGAGCAGCTCCAGGCAGCTCAGGACAGCAGTGATTGCCTCCTTTTTCTCGTTAAAAGACTGCCACCATTAAGGCCAGCGAGGCGTGACAAATAATTGCTGTGAACAAATTGCTGGAGCTGTGCAGAGTGGCACCAAGACACCACCCACCTGCCTGGGGGAAGCTCAGCACAACCCTTCTCAGGGTGGTTTTTGGCTGTTTCTCTTCCCTGGGACCTCAGTTCATGCAGTCTCAGAATCATTTAGGTTGGAAAAGAATTATAAGATCATTGAGTCCAAGCATTAACCCAGCACTGCCAGGATCAGCACTAAAACATGTCCCCAAATGCCACATTTACATGGCTTTTAGATCCCTCCAGGGATGGTGGCTCCACCACTGCCCTGGGTAGCTGTGCCAGGGCTTGACAGCACTTCCAGGGAAGAAATTTTCCCATTATCCAACCTAAACCTTGTGTGGGGCACCTTGAGGCCATTTCCTCTTTTCCTGTTGCTTGTATCCCTGGATTCACCCTTCTGCCAGGGAGTTGGAGAGAGTGAGCAGGTTTCCCCTGAGCCTCCTTTTCTCCAGGCTGAGCCCACCCATCTCCCTCAGCTGCTCCTGGTGCTCCAGACCCCTCCCCAGCTCTGTTCCCTTCTCTGGACACTCTCCATTGGCTCATTTTTATTGGGGCCCACACTTTCTCCTGAGGTCCCAGGGCTTTCAGAAGATGCCAGGTGTCTGCCCTCAGAGGCCAGAGCTGATGTCCCATCTTGGTGGCAGCAGGAGGGATGCTGGAGGAATCCTCCAGCTGTCTGATTGTGGCCAGACCTAAACCACAGAGCACATTTGTCCTCTCCTGGGGATGCATCACACTCCTTACTGTGGCATCAGAACCCAAAGGATTGATCCATTCTCATCCATAAGGGATGAAAACACATCACACCAACCAGCCTGGCCTCTGACTCCAGTCCAGCCTCAAAAGCATCAAGTGGGGTGACAACCCACAGCCATGGGGAGCTGCAGCAAGGCTGGGGGCAGACAGACTTCCTACCCAAAAAAAAAGTCCTAGCAGGACAACAAAACCTTCCTGACTGATTCATCATCGCTGCTGCAATCAGATGTGTCCCAGTATGTAGGTCAGACTCGTAAGAGGACAGGAAGAGTTCACCCAAATGCTGCTCATCACCTGTGTTGAGCAGCCTCATTTCTCCTGGCAGACAAATGGAGCATTCACTGTGTGGGGACAGCTAGGGAAGTGTTCTAACTCACAGCAACAGGCTGTGTAAATCAGAGCTGGAGCTGCAGCCAAATGATGCAATTAGAGGTCTTGCTGTCAACAAACAATCATGTAAATTTGTTCTCTCTGATAGGAATCAAGAAGGAGACATGACTAAGCATGTAATAGCAGGGGCTTGGGAGAGAAGGAAGTTGCCCGAAGCTTCCTAATGAGGGAAGAAGTTATTGCAGAATGAAAATGGTGAAAAAGTGGAGATTTGTGGGTGCCTCTCCAGGGACTGATGAGGCTGGGTGGTACCTGAAAGTGGCTCCAGTGTGAGGTTTAGGTAGTTCAGTCTCTCTCTGCAGGTGTGTTTTCCCAGCAGCACAAGTCACCTTGCACCAGGCTTGTGGGATGTTTATCCTCATAAAATCACAGAATGGTTTGGTTTGGAAGAAACCTTAAAGCTTATCTTAATTGTCCCCCTTAATTAGGACACTGGTGATTGCCTTTAACTGCTGGTGGCAGCTCTGAGAGGGATGAGGGCTGGCTGTCAGCAAATAAAGTATTTAGCTGGTCCTTGGTGGGGAAATGTGCAAGGCCAGGCAGGACAGGGTTTGGAGCAGGCTGGGATTGTGGAAGGTGTCCCTGCCCATGGCAGGGGTGGGATGAGATGAGGTTTGAGATCCTTGCCAGTCAAAACCATTCTGTGATTCTATGATTCTGTGACATCTCTCTTCAGAGCAGGAGGTGACGAGGATTTTTGATCCCCAAGCTGTGGCCTCTGCTAAAAGGAGCAGCCATCTCCTTTGTGCCTCAGTTCTTGGTCACGTCTCCCCACAACCAGCCAGTGAGGAGCAGTGGTGGCATCTGTGCCCCATGCTGTGCCTGGTGACATCTGCCTGGAGGACACATTCCTGAAACACTTAGAAAAAGGTTTCAAAGTGAACCAAGCCCCCAGCCCCAGTGCAGCACCCACCCCAGCACCCTTCAGGGCAGGAATGGCCCTTCCCATCCCTTCCCATCCCCATCCCTGCACTGGCTGAGTGCATCCATCACCACTTGGATGTGTGTGATGCCATGCACTGCTCTGGCTGCCTGGTGTCCCCTGTACCCTGGGTGGCCCACCTTTTTGGGACATCAGGCATTTCCCTCAGAGCATGAGCTGGGAGCTGCAGCTGTGTGTCAGCAGCTGCTCAGCCCTTAAACATCCCCATAATCTCAGGATTTAGCATCAAAGCAGGAGCTCTCACAGCAGAGAGCAGACTTAAAAGAAGTCGCTGAAGTCGGCTGGGGGAGAGCCTTTGCCAAATAACATCTGTCCAAGACAGTTAACATTAAGCACAAAAAAAAAAAACCCAACCCTTTTTTTCGCTGAAGTCGGCTGGGGGAGAGCCTTTGCCAAGTAACATCTGTCCAAGATAGTTAACATTAAGCACAAAAAAAAAAACCCAACCCTTTTGTTTGCTTCAGTTTAATGAGCGAGCAGAGCTCTCTGCAGCCCAGTGTCTCATTTCACTTTCTCAACCAGGTCTTGCATAAGCCCCTGTACTTACCTGATCTTTCCCTTCTCTTTCAAAACAGGCACGCCAGCCCAGCTGGCCTTTTGCTGACAGCTGTAGTGGCAATTTCCTACACAATCGCTGTGCTGTACGAGGGGTGAGTAGCTGTGCAGAACTGGAGAGCTTCTAATTATTTCTACCAGCTTTAACTCTCGAGGTTTCAGACAACTGCACAAGTAGGGATGGTTCTTTTCCAATTAATTCAGCGGGGAAGAAGGAAAACAGAGGATTTTTTTTTTCAATTGTTTTGATAATGGGCAAATTCCACTCTGAAGCTATTTGCTGAGTTCTAGGAACGTTTGCATGTTTATTTTTATCAAAATGAGGCCTTTTTTCCTTTTGGGTGCCAGATTCTGTCTATAGAAGAACAATAAGGAAGGCAGTGAGAGGACTCATTGTGTCTTCACAAGAGCCCCCTACAAGAAGCCCTTGCATTTTGTAGTTCCTTGGATGGGCTTCTCTGCTGTTTTGCACTACAATAGCCCAGCCAGCAGCACAGGATGGAGCAGCACAAAATAACTCCCAGAAGTAGCACAGGATGGAGCAGCACAAAATAACTCCCAGAAGTAGCAGTTGCACTTCAGCAGTGAAAGGTCTTTGTATTTGCAAGGGAGGAGGAGATGCAGAGAGCCATGGTCTGCATCAGGGGGAGTCTGGGTGTGTGCTGAGCCTTGTCCTGCTTGGCACAGGGATGGTCCTGTAGCTGCTCCTCAATCCAGGGAGGCTGAAACCAGGATTGCCACAGACCAGGAATAGTCAGGCTGTGCCAACCTGTGAAGGACAAATTTTGTAGGCCCAAAGATGAGCACTCAGTAGCCTTGATTTTAATTCTTCCTCCCTTCTTTTGCCCCCTCTCTTTTGTCTCTGCCCCCCTCTCTCCCCAAATTCCCATCCTCCCAACTGCAGGCCTTTCACAGAGGAAATCTATCGGAAGAAGCAGAAGGGAGTGAAGAGCAAGTAGCCCCAGGTAGGTTTGCTGATGGGGGCATTTCAGGGGCTGCTTTGCTGGGCTCCCCCACCAACGAGCACCCCAGCCCAGTCCTGCCTTCCCTGGGTCCTCCAGAGCCCTTCCCACACTTCTCAAAGCATTTAAGCTTCAAGCCTCTGCAAAATCCCAGGCAGAGAAGCTTTTCACAGCAGCAGTTGTGTCTGCCTCCTGGCACCCGACCAGCAGCCCCCAAATTGTTTTGATTATACACTTGAGAATCAGTGCGAGGGAAAATTGCTGGGAAGCTTTGAGGCTCCAGGCTTAATCTGAATCAGGCAGAAAAATACAACTATTGGCCATGGCAGGTGCTGCAGAGAGTGGCAGGGATGGTGTGAGAGGGCATGTGTGCCTGCTCATCCCTCAGGGAAATCAGGCCTCCCTGCTCCAGCTGCTCCTTGCCTGAGCCAGGAACATTTCTGCCAGTGGGCTCACCCTAAAACCTCAGCCCAGGCTTGTTTGGGGGGCCAGAAGCTACTCCAGCAGCACAAGCTCCTGGCCAGGCTCCTTTCCTGGGGGTTCATTGCCATCTGGGAGCCCCCAGTGCATTTTTGCCTGCTGGTTTTTGGAGAGTTGGGACAGTCCCATGGCACTGCTGAGGTTTTACTGAACTGTGCTGCTGTGGCAGAGCTGCTGTGGCACCACTGAGGTCCCCAATGGACTCTTGTCCCTTTGCCTTTTGCAGGGCACTCTCTGGGGTACCTCGTGCCTCTCCGGTCCCCACACGGTCTGATTTGCCCATTTTCCTACTGAGATGTATCCTACTAATTAACCCAGCAACCCTTAATGAGCCAGCTGAGCTCCCTGCAGCACTGGAAGTGACCAGAGGAACAGCCTGAGCGTGGTGGCAGCTCCTTGCCACAGCCCATGGGAGATGGAGGTCCCTGTCCCCAGGGCTCTGTCCCGGTCACTGCAGCTCCCGGGAGTTCCACAGTGTGGGACTTCCCCACCTCTTCTCCCACACTGATTGCTGGAGATCTGCAGGCAAAAAGGAATTCCCTTTGGACTGGAGGGAAAGCAGAGTAATGATGGAAACACCGGGGGCCTTTCATAAGTGAGCTCAGCGTGTCCTGAAGATCATCTGAAGGTGCAGCCTGAGAGCCACGAGAAGCAGACAAAGCTCAGCTCCAGCAGTGGAGAGAGCTCAGGAGCCCCTGAGGATTCAAACACAGATGGGGAAGGAACAGGGGAAGCTGCTGTGAGCTCAACAACAGCAAAACCTGCTGCAAAACCAAAAAGCAACCCCTTATTTTTTTGGGACAGGAACCTCCCCATCCAGAGCTGCAGTTTCTCATCCATGTAGAGCCCTGCAGCTTCTCCACACTATTGCAAAGGCTCTGAGAAAATTGACTGACAAGCACAGGAGTGTGAATGTATGACCTAAACCAGAGCCCAGGGGCATGGAGGGATGGCAGCTGTCCTATGGGGAAGACCCAGCATGGAGAAGACCCAGGGGAAGAGTCAATCCCTGTCTGCACTTCACAGATATCCCACTCCTGGCCATGTTGATGCCCCAGCCCCTCCTTTTCCCTGGGTCCAGGGTCCTGCTGCCTTTCCCACCAGCCAGTGCCTTCCAGCTGTTTTCCACGGTCTTGCAGGGGCAGTGGGAGGGAGGGAAGAGAGGGCAAGGTTTGTTTCTGCCTTCCACACCGTGCAGCAGCCAGGTACAGATGTGCCCCTCTGCCCCTGCCACCAGCCTGCCCCAAAACTGTCCAGTGCTGAATCCTGCCTTGAACAGAAAGATTCCAGAGGTGATGCTCCAGCCCCAGGCTCTGTTTCCACAGATTCCCAGAACAGTTTGAGAAATGAACTGTAAATGACCAAATGAGCAGGTGCTGGAGAAGGGAGCTGTGCTGCTGCCAGCTCCACACGGGCACTGGAATGTGGCACCACATCTCAGCACCACACTGTCCCCTCCACAGAGGGTCCTCTCTCTTCTCAGTGTCACCTCCATGAAACGGTTCCATTTCCTTTTGCTTTTACACGTTGTAATTAACTCACCCTCCGGGCATTGCTCAGCAGAATTAAAAGTGTTGGTCTCTTTTCAGTCCGGCCTCCATTTCCTCCGGAAGGGCTCACAAATGCTGTGTTTGTGTTTCATCACTTCAGAACCATTACACGTAGATTTATTTTTTTATTGCCATCTCAACCACCTTCCTCTCAAAGATTTGGGTATAGTATTTTATTTTTAGATAAGTTTCCACATTCCCTTCACAGCTAATGTTTATAGAGGGAGGCTAAACCCGCCCAGTACCCATAGCAACCATCGAGGAGAGGATACATTGCATTATTCAGACAATTTATGTCAGAGTTGCCAGTCCTGGCTCAAAGTCTCTGATGTCAATAAACTTGGATTTGTTGATAAGTGAAATCAGTATTTACTGGAGAAGCACGTGCTCATACGGGAAGAATTATTCCTAATGAGAACAAAGCGAGGGCTGTATTTGTGCTGTCTCATTCCCGCTCTGGGGACCATGTGTGCCTTTCCCAGTCCCTCCTGCAAGGCCAGGAGGGACCCCAGTTGTGCCATTCCCCTCCCCAGCCAATATCAGCCTCCTAAAACGTGTGTCTGTCACCACAAACCCCAGTGATGGAGCTGCTTCCCATGCCATGCCCACATCCCCCATGAGCACGGGGTTGGTGCTGTGCTGGGTCTGGCTTCAGACTCCTTCCCCCTTGATCTGCCACTTCCAGAACAAGGTTTTTTTTTGGGGGGGCTATGCCAGACACTTCCCTGGTTTTAACAGCTCTTCCCACAGCATCCAGCACGGATTAAACATCCCTGCCTTCACCCAACTGGTTCTGGCTGCCACAAGGTTGGAGTTTGATAGTTTAGAGGCACCTGCTCTGTTCCCTGAAGGGGGAAGGTGAGGAGCTGGGAGTTGATGTTTCAGCCCATCTCATGGGCTCTGAGCCCACCTTTCTCCCTGGGGCAGGGGGTGAGTCCCTGCTGTTGCTGTGCTGATCCCTGGGGCTGCAGGGAGGGAAACACAGAGACACCATTATTTATGTTGTTTTATGGTATTTAACAGCAAGGAATTAGGGGACTCTCCTTGGTTATAAGGAAAAAAAACCCTGATTCCTCTCCAATTGCCTAATATTTCCAAGAATTGGAGATTACACAGGGAGGGGGTGAAACCTTCAGGCTGAGCACAAAGTGCTGGTGGTGTCACAGCTTTCCCCTCTTGCTGGCTGCAGCTGGGACACATCCTGCATGGATGCAGGGGTGGATCTCATGTCAGAAGGTGAGTCCTGCTGCTCCCAAAGGACAGACCTGCACTGTGGGACCCCCAGGACCAGCTGGATGCAGCCCCAGCTCTGCAGCAGCACAGGCAGGAGCATCCAGCTCTGCAGGGACATCAAGGACCAAATGGGGTCCCTGGAAATGGGGTCATGGGGCCATTGTCATGCCTTCATGCCTTCAAAATCCAGGATGGATCTTTCTGGGCCCACTGGAGCTGGCAGGGAGGTTGTTTGCAGCCTTGGGAATGGCTTCACGTGATGCCGTGTGCTGACGCCACAGATAACACTTCCTTTGAAGTTTGGGATATTTCTCCAGAGCAAACAGCAGGAAAGGAGAAACTAGTTAAATCTCAACTCCTACCTGGCAGGGACAGCTGGGTCAGCCAGGTCATCACTCTGTGCTGCCTCAGCTGCCCCCATCCCAGCAGACAACCTCTGTGCCCACCCTCATGGAGGTTTTCTCTGTGTGCTTGCTTCCATGGCTCCCCCACACACATCTCCCTTCCATGGAACCAAAGTGGCAATTCCTTGGGATGAGAAGATCATATATATATCATATATATGATATATAGAATATAATAATTATAATTATATTATATATTTATAATTATATATATAAGTATATGTATAATTCTATAATTACATTATAATAATCCACAATAAACACCCCAGCAGTGGGGATGGGAGCCCAGCTCCACGCTCACAGGATGCTTCATCCAGGAACACTTCAGCAGGTGGAGGCTGCATCCTGCGGTCCTTTCCCCGCTGCTGGTGACATCCAGGAGCAGGGACACATTCCCAAAGGCCATTCTCTCCCTTGTGACCCCCTGTAACCCCGTGCCCGGGGAAGCTGCTCTGCCTTGCCCCAGGGGAGGGACAGCCAGCAGCCCTTACGTGGCAAACAAACACAGAATAAACACCGTGGCAAACAAACACGGAATAAACACGTGGCGCAATCGGGCGGCACGTGTGGCACTGGCAGCGCCGGGAATTCTCCATTCCCACCCCGCTCCTGCCTGCTGAGCCTGCCCTTGGGCTGGCTGGGAAGCTGGCAGCAAATGAGGGGCTCAGGGCTCCCAAACCCCTCCCAACACTGAGGCAGAACCTTGGCTTTTTTGCCAGTGGTTGGGATTTGAAAAAAAGCAAAGATGCTTTTGTAAAAGCAAAGATGAGCTTTCAGCTTTGGGGGCAGTTTGGGCACTGCTTTATTGGGGATCCCTTAATCCAGAGAAGGTGGACAGGGGACACAACAGAATTTATATTTGTAGGGGAATAAACCAGTCTGTTCTACCCCTGCTGTGTAGGGAAAACAATCTGGACTTTAATTGCTCACAAAGCAGTGGGGAGAACACCCCGGTGGGAAACTGTTCCCATGTGGGAAACCCCCAGTGCTGGAGCCCAAATAAATGCCATGGGCAGGATGGGCATCCCAGGGCTGAGCTGCATGGGCTCTGCTGGCACATCCACGCTCAGGGATCTGGGATACAGGCAGCTCCCAACTCACCGGTGTCCAGGGAAAGCTTTGAAACTTCCCCCAGTGCTGGAGAGCAGCAGCAGCAGCACCCCACGGCCACTGTCCCCCTGCCCCAGGCATCACCCCTGTCAGGGCAGGGTGGAGAAGGCTCCATCCAACCCCTCCCAGCCCATTTCCACCCTCACTCCGGGGGCCCTTACGCACGGAGCTCCTGCCACGAGGCAGAGGACAAGTTACCGGGCTGTTTTCTTTAATTTTCACACTCCAAAGCCGCCCCGAGACGGCCCGGTGAGCCGGATCCTCCTCGGATCCTGTTTCAAAGGAAAGAAATGGTAGGAATGTGCTGCTTTTTCCATGTTGCATTTTCGTCGGGAGGAGCTGTTTACGGAGCGCAGCTCCTTCCCCAGCCAGGGCTGCAGGAGGGCTCAGAGCCACCAGAGTCCTGGGAAGATGTCAGGGCCAGGCTCTGCCCCAAGGCAGCCTCGAGGGTCCTGGATTTGGCCACGGGCTCAGCCTTTTGCCCAGCTCAACTCCCCAAATCCCAACCTCTCCATCACTGCACAGCCCCTCTGGAGCCCCAGGAGCAGATGTGGGACCCGACAGGAAACATCTGCAGGCTCTGAGCCCCCAGCACTGCCTGGCACTGCCCACCCCGCTCCCTGCCTCCTCCTGGGCTTTCATTTCTGTCCTGTCAGCCCTGCCAACCATGGCTATTTCCACGGGAACCTTGCTGAAATCCACAGCAATGCATCCCCTGGGCTCACCAAGCCTCCCTCTCCCCTGTGCCTTGTATCCCAAGCCCAGCTGGTGCCTGTCTCTGGTCACAGGTGACATTTCTCTCAAATCCCAGAGCAGCTGAAGGAAACTCTGCTCCTTGGAAGGGAGCAGAAGGTGCTGGAGTTTGGGGACACGTCCGGGACATGGAGACACCTTTGCTCATGCTGGCAGGTTGTTGCATGACCTGTGGGCAAGAGGATGGGATGAAAGGAGGTGGAAACTGGGAGCAGGGGATTTCCAGGGTGCTCCTGGCTGAGAGCTGCACCGTGCTGAGCCCAGGGATGGTGTCTCGAGGGACCTCTTGCCACTCCTTGCCTGGATAACTCCAGGAACTGGGGATTTGAGACATCTCAGGCTTTCAGATTCTCTGTTAATCAAATCCCAAGTGCTAAAAGGAATCAAGAGACATGAAAAGTGTTGCTAAAGAAGCAGGGGGTGGGGGAGGGAAACAAATAAAGCCACCCCTCATTCCCCAGAGAACGAGCAGCTTCTGCATCATATCTCATCTGGGAAAAATTATATTTTGGGAATTACGTGCTTCTTCTGAAAAGCCTTAAAGAGATTTAATAAAATGAGACAAGCTAATAATATAGGGAATGAATAGCAACCCTGGATTCTGCATCTTGATTTAATCAGATGCTTTTCCTCAGGGGGACAAGCAAGAACTATGGCTAAAGCCTCCCTTCCCTTCCCTTCCCTACCCAGCTGCTCCCCTCTTCCTCTGGCCATTCACTCCTCTCCCACCCCGGGGGAGCAGCCAGGGCAGGATTTGGGGTCCCACAAGTCCCTGCTGTTCACCAGCAGCTGCTGGGAAATGCACAGCCCACGCTGGTTCTTTGGGAGCAGGGTAAGGAGCTGGACACCAGCTTGCTGTACAGCCCCCAGGGAGAGGGGCCCTGTCCAAGGGACAGCCCTGGGGGAGAAAAGCAACAATTGGGGAGCCAGGAGAGCTGGGCTTGGCTCCATGTGCGAGGTTGCTCCAGAGCCTGGGAATGCTGTGTGCTGCACAGGGGATGAGCCCTTGGTGGGATGGGAAGCAGCTGACAAGGAGCTCCTGTGGGATGTGCCCCTCTCCGAGCCTGGGACAGCTGCAGGCTCTGCGTGTGCCAGGTGGGAAGGACACAAAAGGCTCTCCCAGTCCTGTTTCAGCGCTCAGACCCGGCCGTGAACCGAGGCCAGCCCGGCCCCGGGGGGATGATCCTTCTCAGCACGCTCAGAAACCAAACTCATGTTCTGATGTAATTGTCCTTTTCCGAGTATCCCCCTGTGCTGGGCACCTCGGTGCCGCTCCTGCTTCCTGGAACATTCTGCTTCCTACATTTTTTGCCGTGGTGCTGCTGCTGTGAGCTCTGTTCTGCTGCTGCACAGTTCGTCCAAGGCAGGCCCTGGGGAGCCGCGTGTTCTGTCGCCGGGATGTTTGTGTGACTTTCGTGGAATTTCCTTTCCTCAGCCACTTGCTCGCGGACACAGGGTGGGTTTTGCTGGTTGGCAGGTGGCTGATAAACCGAGGAGGGTGAAAACAGGGAGGGGAATAGCAAGGAAACAAGGATTGATCTGTGCTGAAGGTGATTCCATTAAAGGTGTCGCTGGGGTTCGTGCAGAGCGTCCTGCCTGTGCCTCTGGCTGTGCTGAGCTGCTGCATCAAAGAGATTCTATCCCCCAAAACCAGGCAAGGAGCGAAACATCCCACAAACAGCAGGGACAAACTCTGGCTGCCGTGGGGGAAATGCCCTTTTACCTGCCTCTGCTTTAAGCCTTGGGCTATTTGCAGTCAGGTCAGAAATAGGAGGTGATTTGTAAAAGAGTCATAACTGTGCGAAGGCTTTGCCTTGCAGCGAGGTGGATCCTTTATCATCAATCACTGGCAGCAGCTCCCAGCAAATGTGCTTTGCTCCTACAGGAGATGAGTTTCTGGATGAGCCTGGGAGGACTCAGCTAATGCTGTGTAATGCTCCCTGCTCGGGCTCGGCGTGACTCCACGAGGAGCTGGGCTCTGGGATGGCACAGGCAGTGCCCACGACCTCTTCTCTGAGAGCTCCCACCAGCAGCAGCTCTCCTGCACCCACCCCAGGTCCCTGACAGCCTGTCCTTGCTGCCAGGGAGCCCCTGGCTCTGGTCCCACTCCACCAAGCCCACAGGATCCCAGTGCACATCTGTCTCCTGGCATGCTCTGCCCAAAGAACTGTTGAGAAGAAGCAAATGGATTTTTTTCCTGTCAGCCAGGAGCAGGTTTCAAGCAGGCTATTTTTACCTGTTCCTGACTCTATTAATAGTTGTACGGCCAGCAATAAATGCTGATCGAGATATTCGATTTGTCTGTCCTCCAGAGGTTGCCACTTCCTATTCCCCCTGTTGTTTTCCATCAACCGCTTCAATTAAATGATCTTTTTGTTATTGGGGTGATACATTTGGGCTTTGTGTTGGGCTATTAGACTTCTCCGCTGTCTCACACACAGATGAATAAACACAGGAAACTGTCCCACTTTCTCTCCTCCAAGTGTCCTTGTGCCTCTGGGCAGGATGTTTCCCTGCAGGCAGGGACAGGGCTGTTTGAGCTGCTGCTCCCTTCCAGACAGCCACAGACAACCACAACCCCTCCCTAAGCCTTCTGAGGGTGTTTAAATTAAATTATCCGAGGGTGAGACCACACTCAGGGGAGATGAGGAGCTCAGCACCATCCCTTTCCCAAGTGGTGCTGATGAAAGGCACCGCTCTGCCCCAGTCTGTGTGTTCTGGCTGTCCCTGAGGCCCCACTCTGTGTTATAGGTGAGGCTTTGCTGCCCTCAACTTTACTAGAGCATCACCTTTTGCTGAGATTTTTTTTTTCTTTTTAGTGGTGGTTTTAAAATATTTTTTTAAATTCTTATTTCATTTTTATCATAGAACAGGCTGGGTTGGAAAGGACCTTAAAGCTCATCTTGTACCACCCCCTGCCATGGGCAAGGGCACCTTCTGCTAAACAAGATTGCTCCAAGTCCTCTCCTACCTGGCCTTGGATACTTCCAGCAATGGGTGCAGCCACCCTGGGCAACCCATTCCAGTGCCTCACCACCCTCAGAGGGAAGAATTTTTTCCCAATATCCCATCTAATTCTGCCATCAGTGCCATTCCCCCTTGTCCTGTGGCTCCAGCCCTTGTCCAAAGTCCCTCTCCATCTCTCTTTGGGCACCTTTAGGCACTGGAAGGGGCTCTGAGGTCTCCCTGGAGCCTTCCGTTCCCCAGGCTGACCATTCCCAGTTCTCCCAGTATGGCACCGCTCCCATTCCCATTCCCATTTCCATTTCCATTCCCATTCCCAGTCCCAGCCCCATTCCCATTCCCATTCCCATTCCCATTCCCATTCCCATTCCCGTTCCCGTTCCCATTCCCAGTCCCATTCCCGTTCCCATTGCCATTCCCATTCCCATTCCCATTCCCATTCCCATTCCCATTCCCATTCCCAGTCCCATTCCCAGTCCCATTCCCATTCCCGTTCCCGTCCCCGTTCCCGCTCCCGTTCCCGGCCCTGCCCGCGCTGCCGCCGGCCGGGCTCTCGCCTGTCCCCTAGCGGGCAGAACCGGCGCTGCAGCGGCAGCGCTCGGCGCCCGGCACCGGCACCGGGACAGGAACGGGGACCGGGACAGGAACAGGGAGCGGAATCAGGGTCGAGGTCGGGGTCAAGGGAAGCCGCCGTGCTAAGAGCCTCTGTGAAGGTGTCACCGCGCAGCCCCCAGCCCGCGCTGCAGCCCCCGGTGGGACCGAGGCTTCTCTCTGCTCCCGGCCCCGCGCACCGGCGCTCACACCGACCCGGGTCTTTTCTCCCGTTTTCCGGGCATTTGCACTGATTTATAAATCAGTAAACCGGAGCGAAACCACGGCAGGGAGTGGCGTGGGACCCTCTGCAGCCCCCCGCCCCCGGTTCCTGCAGCTCGGGGTCGCCCCACTCCCCGAGCCCCGGGAGCCCCGAGCCGGCTGCGGGGCGCCGGGAGCCCGCACCGGGCTGAGAACGGGACGGGTACAAAGCACAGGGACCCCGTGCTGAGATGCAAAGAGATCTGTTGGCAAACGGGACTGTGGAAGGGACCGGGAGCGCGAGCGGGAGTTCGAAACACCCGAGTTCCAGCCGGGCTGCCGACGGGACCGGGCTGCGAATGGGACCGGGCGGTAAATCTCCGGGAGCGCAAACCGGGATGGGAACGGGATCTGTCTGTGCACCCCGGGGAGTGCGAACCGGGATGGGAAAGGGATCTGTCTGCGCATCCCGGGGAGCGCGAACCGGGATGGGAGCGGGATCTGCCTGTGCACCCCGGGGAGCGCGAACGGGGCTGCGAACGGGACGGGGCTGCCAAGAACCCGGAGCCCCAGCCGGGCTGTGAACGGGACCAGGGAGCCGAGCCCCCGGAGTGCGGACGGGGCTGCGGACGGGAGCGGGGCGCGCAGCCCGGAGCCCGGCGGGGGGCGCGGGCCGGGCCGGGCGCGGAGCCGGGCGCTGACTCAGCCGCCGCCGCCCCGGGCCGTGACGCGCCGAGGGGCGGTCGCTGCCGGCTCCATATAACGCGGCGGCCGCCGTGCAGAGCTCACACCGACCCTTCCTGAGAGGGAAGAGGGGCTGAGCAGCCGGGCAGGCAGCGCCTTCCTCCTCCTCCTCCGTCTCCTTCTCGGCGCAAGCTGCGCTTTTGCCGGCGTCAATGAAACTGGCAGCGATGATCAAGAAGATGTGTCCCAGCGAGGCCGAGCTGAGCATCCCCGCCAAGAACTGCTACCGCATGGTCATCCTGGGCTCCTCCAAGGTGGGCAAGACGGCCATCGTCTCGCGCTTCCTCACCGGCCGCTTCGAGGAGCAATACACGCCCACCATCGAGGACTTCCACCGCAAGTTCTACAGCATCCGTGGTGAGGTGTACCAGCTCGACATCCTGGACACGTCGGGCAACCACCCCTTCCCAGCCATGCGCCGCCTCTCCATCCTCACAGGTACTTGGCAGGAGGTCCCTCTGCCAGATTCCTGCTCAGTTTGGGGATGTTTTTTGCAGTCCTGGGAGGAGGGAGGTACGATTTTGTGTGTTCAAGTGGTTGGGGAGCTCTTCTTGGTGCTATCTGGTCCTTCTTTCTCCAAGCCTGTGTTTGGCTTAGGAGTGGGGCTCTCTGTGTCCCCATCCCTGCAACCATCTCACGTTCCCTCTTTGTCCCCAGGAGACGTGTTCATCCTTGTGTTCAGCCTGGACAACCGAGACTCCTTCGAGGAGGTGCAGCGCCTGAAGCAGCAAATCCTGGAGACCAAGTCGTGCCTGAAGAACAAAACCAAGGAGAACATAGAGGTGCCCCTGGTCATCTGCGGCAACAAGGGCGACCGGGACTTTTACCGGGAGGTGCAGCCCCGGGAGATCGAGCAGCTGGTGGGAGGGGACCCCAAAAAATGTGCCTACTTCGAGATCTCAGCCAAGAGGAACAGCAGCCTGGACCAGATGTTCCAGGCGCTCTTCGCCATGGCCAAGCTGCCCAGCGAGATGAGCCCCGACCTGCACCGCAAGGTCTCGGTCCAGTACTGCGACATCCTGCACAAGAAGGCGCTGAAAGGCAAAAAGCTGCTGAAGGAGGGCGGCCGGGGCGGCACGGAGGAGGCGTACGGCATCGTGGCCCCCTTCGCCCGGCGGCCCAGCGTGCACAGCGACCTCATGTACATCCGGGAGAAAGCCATCGGCGGCGGGCACGGCAAGGAGAAGGATCGCTGCGTGATCAGCTAGGAACCCCCGCTCGCCTCGGGAAAGAAGGAAGGAAGGAAAGAAGGAAAGGAGGGGGGAAAAGATGCTCGTTTCCGAATTGACTTTGGGCAGGTGCCCAGCCGGGCAGAGAGGGCGTCGCCTCTCCCCCAGCCTCCCTCCTCCCGTTTTCATCACCTCCCTCCCCGGGGGTGCATTTTGGGAGAGAGGGATGCGAAGGGGGAGGCTTTGGAGGGCAGGAGGTGATGTCACTGGGAACAGCCTCCTCCTCTGGGCAAAGAGACAGGGAAAGGGTGAGCTGCTGGGCAGCCAGGTGGGAGGGTGAGTGTGGAGGGCACAGACCTTGGTGTTTCTTTCCCTCCCAAACCACCCAGCCTCAGGCACTGCCTTCAAGAGGGAAGGCAGGGGCCTGGCCAGCACCTGCCTGGGGCTTTGGGCTTGGTTCTTGATTTTTATTTTTTTTTCCAACTTGAGAAGCTGTGCACGGACTCTGGCTCTATGTTGTGTGTTCATCTGTGTCTGCAAAACACATGCAGAAGACACTCCTAAGCTGTTGCAAAAGACATTGCAGAGTTACAGCCCCGATGGACCAAAAAACTGACTCTTGTTTACATTTGTCTTGTTTGATTTGCAAGATTTGGGGAGGGTGGGGGGAGCGGGAAGGGTTTTACAAAATAAAATAATAGGCACTTTATGTAGGTATTGTTTGTCATTGACATGAAAAAAAAAAAAAAAATCTTCAAGTGTTTCTACCGTGGGTGAAACTTGATGTTTTATTTTTTCTACAAATTAATAAAATCTTTTTAAAAATTCCACCTGTGGGTTTGCCTTTGCTTCCTTACCCTATCCCACAGCAAATCCTGCTCAGCAAAAGGCCTGAGCTCAGAGGAGGCAAAACCAGCCTCTCACTGCAGCCCTGTATTGCCCCATTTTCTCCGACTCCCAGTGCAAAGGTTCCCGCCTCTGCAAGCCGCCGGGGTTTTGCCTCACAGGGTAAGGAGAGGGCACGCAGGAGTTGCTGGCTCCCAGGGGTCACTGAGGCAGCGCTCTTTCCTCACTCTGCTACGCCGAGTGACGGTGCTGCCAGCCCCACGACACGCCGGGCATGGCATGTCACCGCCTGCAGTCACCCAGCAGACTGACATCACTTCGTTACAAAGAGCCGATTGTGTTTCATGCTCTTTGCCGATTAACTAAGCACACTTTAATGATGTCAGCACAGACTGATTCATTGGCACCCCAGCTGGGAGATTGTTTTTACTCTGCAATATGAGTAAAGGAAGTACTTTGCTCGAAAGGTCACCTTTACATCTGATGGTTTTTAATCTCTTCCCAATAACAAGTTGCAGTAATCATTGCTAGAAGTGAAAGGGAAACAGGATCACTCTTCAAAGAAAGCTCATTTTCAACCTCCGCTTTCCCCTCATGCAGCAGCACAAATCTGTGTTTAGTACATATTAATGGCAAAAAAAAAAATCATTTTGAAGCCATAAAACAACGGTGGGGGAGAGAGGCTGCAAAGCAAAACCTCTCAGTTTCACTTGAAACTTGGATTCAAGTTGACAGAGTTAACTTGCTCCTGAGCTAAGTGCCAGACATTTCTTTGGCAACAAGTTGTTTCTTCCAGCTCTGCCTATGCCTGATTTCACAGGAACAGCAACTGGCAAAAGAATGGAAAACATCGTCCAGGCATGAGACACAGGAATTTATTGAGCTGGGACAGGCAATGGCTGGTGGAAAGGCAATTTCAGTAATAAAAAATGTGTACATTGTGCTTTGTTTATCTCGGTGTTCTGCTTTACTCAGAGTTTACACACTGGCACCTTCCCAAAGAAAGTACTAGTACAGTATCTCAGTGGGGACAGAGTAAATATCTGAGCTACAGGTGAGCTGCAACCATCCCACCCAGCAGAATTACCTGTTCCAGCTGCTCAAATGTTTGTGGTTTTGGGAAGCCCCTGGATGTGGAACTTACCCGTCCTGTTGAGCCTGACTTTAGTATGGAATAACTAAAAGCTTTTATCATTTATGCCCTTTGTTTTTATTCTTGCCCTTCCTCTGTTTTAAGAGGGAAAGTTGGAGCTGGGCCCAGAATCCCACGTGCTGCCAACATCCTGCCCCTGCTCTGCCCACATCCACTCAGTGAACACAAGAGGGGCAGTTTGGAATTTATAAATCTTTATTTGACTCATCTCAGACACAACCACCAATTGTTTAAAAAGAGAAATACAGAAGTAACTGAAAGCAATCATTCCTCTTCCAACACACAGGGAATGGAAAGTGTACCAGAGAGACTTTCCAGGAGCAGGGCCAAACAGTTCATGCTTCCCTCTTATGTTCCCTTTTGATGTTTGGCCATTTTTAAGTAAAAAATATTGCATAAATGCCCCCTTTTTCACCAGCAGGTACTTTGACCCTTAGTCAGGAGAAAGCAAAATGTCTCCTGCTTGTTTAAACGTAAAAAAGAAGAACCCCACCCTGAGAGAAAACAGGAGATGGGATATATAAGTGCACAGTCCTGCAGCTGATCAAGGGAATGTGCTGCTGCCATCGTCCCCGGAGAGCACACGGTGTCCTGGCCCAGTGTCACACACCCATGGTCCACACAGGCACAACGCCACAGCCCTGTAACCACAAAACCTAAAGAAAGAAATGCCAACTCCTGCCACCCTGTTCAGCCTGGACAGGAGGTATCTCAGATCCAGAGAGTGCAGCTGTGTCTTTCCTACTCCTTGGGGATTTCAAACATGCAGAGGCTCTTGTACTTCTGCAGCAGCTCGTTTTTGGTCCGCACCTGCTCCCGCAGGTTCTGCAGCTGCTGCTGCTGCTGCTCTGGGCTCACCCCGATGCCAGGCATGGAGCTGATCAGCTTCCTCATCTCCTGGAACTTGTTCTTGAGCTCATTCAGTACCTGGTGAACATCCTGGCTGTCCTTGTCCATGCTGCAGAGGAGAGAAAATCGAGACACTGTGAATTCTCCTATTGAAAATGCTGTAATTTCCAATGCAACCAGGGTTTAAACTGGAATTCACTGGGAAAATTGCTCTTGGTATCTAGCTACACACTCCTGATTCACCTATCCCAATAAAATGACACAGACTGATATAGACTGGGTAGCTATGGGGCAACCTGGTTTCCTGCAAATTTGCAGCACACAATCCAGTCACCTCAGGATGCATTAATCAGGTTAGGAGCTGCTCTGCAGCTTTCAAACATCACCCTGGAGCAGGCTAAATTCTCCCTCTGAACTTCTGTACCTCTCTTTGAGGAAGGTAAGATTGCATATGTGTTGTGTGTAGTCACCTGGAAAAAAGATCTCAGTCTCACCCGTGACCTGTTGCTGCTATAATACAAAAAAAATCAATGCAGCCAAACAGCTTGACAGCAGAAAACAGAAACTGCTCCCCAAAGTGTCAGAGAGTGTCCAAAGGCAGAGAAAATGGTACTTGGGAGCTTTAAAATGAGTCTCAGGGGATTAATACTTAATAAAAGAGAAGCGGCAAGGGTTTTTTGGGTTGGTTTGGGGTGTTTTTTTTAAGAACAGCAAAACTGGCTCTGCAGCCAGCTCTGTGCTTTTCAAGGCTCAGTGTTGTCTGAGGCAGCGTCTGCCCTTGAACCCTCATTAGTATCTGACTCAGCTTTGTTAGCACCAGCAAGAAGTTTTACTGATTCCAGGCAAAAGCAAGTCCCTGCTTCCAGGCTGCCTGTTAATAGGGAGAGCAGGATTCTAATGGTCTTTGAAAAACTGGGAGCCTGTTCAATAGCCAGACCTAAAAATAAATCTGCTTGGCATGACCAGGGCAGAGAGGTGCTCGATTAGAACTTTGGGGAATCGTGACATGGCTGAGAGCAAAACTTTTAAGCAGATGGCAGCCGCTTGTTTCAAAAGCCTGTTGGAACAAAATATTCATTATTCCCTTCTAAATAAAACTGCAGCTGGTACTATAATGTCTCCCCATTATGCAGGCACTCAGGGCCAGGTTGGCAGTGGAAAAATACAGAAACAGACACACAACCAAACCCATGGCACATCTGGGGAAGGATGGGGTGACACTGCCTTTCATCTACCACAGCTGCAGGCTGGCTTTGACAGTGTTGTGTTCCCCACATCCCATCTCCTTCCCCACTCAAAGAGAACTGACAGCTGCCTGTTGCCTGGTCGATTCAAAGGGATAAATATTTCAGGGTTGGTGGGTTTTTTCTCCTGATGGGTAGTTTTCCTGCTGGATCAAGCCACTGAATTCCTGTGATTTCCTGTTTGGGGACATGGAGATGTAGAAGTGAGAAGGTGTGGGAAGAGAAGGTGTGGGAGTGAGAAGGTGTGGGAAGAGCCTGCAGCTGCCTGCACTAACACAGGATTGAACACAGCATCCAACCACAGCCTGTGCTGATACACTGGGCACAAAACCTGCCCTAAGGCACGGTGTGCTTCACCACACCAGCACAACCCACCATTGGCAGAGCCACACAGTGGGACCTCAGCAGTGATGCCACTGACTGCACAAGGCTGAAAACATCAGCAGACTCTGTTTAGGAAAACTTTCTCCAGACCCAAACAACAGGAAACAGCACCCATCCTTGAATGTCAGCAAATTTACGTGATACATCCTCGCTCCGGAGCACAGAGTCACCTTGGAGATGTGTCCTCACAGCTGAGTCAGTGTCAGAACAGCAGGGCTGGGCTCTGCCACTCGAGGCAGTGTTAGAGGACAGCCCGTTTGCCATCTGTCAGGGACAGGAGGCACAGCATCCCACCGCTGGCCACCGTGGTGCCACCTTTCTGCCACACTGTTCAGCCCCTACGTCGGCTCGAGCTGCCCAGGAAATGCCACACACGAAGCCAAGGGAAGGAGCTGGGCAGCAGGAGTGGGTGGCTCGGTGGGACAGGGCACAAGATATCCCTGGGACTGCCATCTGTGAGTCACTACAACCTGATCAGTGACACATCACAGCCTGGGAGGTCTCAGCCCGTGGCTACTGCCCGCTCTGGTGATGTACACGCACACACCTGGCAGGGGATTTAGCCTCACTCTGTGGCCTGCACAGATCACAGAGAATCAAGGTCGGGGGCAACTTGATGGCCTACAGCTAGCACAATGGGGAAAGTGAGTGAAATTGCAGTGTTTGTGTTCTCATGCCCATGCTGGACTGGTGTGTCAAAGGTATTTGTTCCCATGGATTGGGCTGCCTGGGCTGCAGAGCCATTAAGGATCAACATCCCTCACCTTTCAGACATGTCTGCTCCAAGTGAAACAGCAGGACACAAATCAGCTCCTCAATGAGTGCACAGGGAGAGGGCAGGAAGAAAGCAATTCATGCTTCCTATGCCCACTGCCTCACCCTGCTCAGGTGAGAGCACAGAGCCTGCCTGGATGGATTTCCATGGCTGAGACATCCCCTTTCTAGGAATTCAGATGAGCACCTCTGGAGTGGTTATCCTGGCCCAGAAACACATCAATTCTTAGGAACTCCTGTACCAGCACCTTTCAGCTGTACAGCGCTTATCTTGAGCTGGGAAAACAACAGTGTATGTCCCACTGAGGAAGCCATCCCCCTTTTTACAACTTCCCAGAAATGGACTGCATTCCTGACGCACTGCCTGTACTTCCTGAGGCTGTTATCAGCCAGAGAGTAGAGTTCTCTGGAGCAATAACCCAGCGGACACACAGGGCTCCTGCTCTGGGGTTAGTGGTGGGGCAGTGTACCTGAGCCACGGGAGCACCTGTGCTGCTCAGGTGACCCTGACACCATCCAGGCACTGGCACAACTCAGAGTGGAAATGCACTTGGGGCTGTGCCAGCTCCCTCCAACA